CCACGTTGACTTTCGGTTCAGAGATATCTCTCGGAGTGTTTTGGTGCAGGCCTTGAGATGGGCTGATCCCCCATCTAAGCATTCTGCCAGGTGTCTAAATAACTTAAGAAACCTCCAATATGTGAGGACGCCACTGTCCAACAGCAGAGTAAGTTAAGTGATGGTTTTATTTACAAATACTCAGGGATGTTCTACGACGTACTTAAAGGCCGAAGGATGTTTATCGCGAAACACAAATTACCCAAATGACTAACCCAAACAACGTGGATTTTAACCGCGCGTGTGTGCTTAATACTTTGACACAGTCTCCTAAACGAGATGCAAATGTCCCTACGTTGATCCTATGGACCGAAACGCAGTGTGGACCTGTAGGAAGATACCGACGTTCGGGAAGAACATGCTGCCTTCATTTTCAGTGCAGCGAAAATGCTGTATGTAAAGTCTGCAAGCAAATATTTATCTATTATTCCCTAGTTACCTTTCAAATCTCGGGCTCAGAGGTCGAACTATCCTGACTGAGGTCATTCGTGGTTTTCCTCCGGCCCTCAAAGCAAGTTCAACTTTTGAACTGGTGGAGTAAAGTGTATGAAGACCATCTTCTGGCACGTCGTGCTTTAAAAACTCGAACAGGAAACCAATGGTTAAATAAATAGTCGGCAGATGTTTTTCGATCGCGTGTTGGCACTGCACATGCGCACTAGGCAAGAACGAGTGAATTCTCTAATCATTAAAAAAAGAGCATCGAGGTTTACTGCTGCTAATTTTGTTTCCTCCCTCAAGACGCCGTCATATATTGAAGAATTTCAGTGACAAAATTAAATCAAGATTCCGACCTGTGGATACCCCTGTACTTGGAGAATCCAATTACAGATAGTCCTCGATTTGCGCCGATTCAGAATAACGCCGATTTTGAAACCAGCAAGTTAAAAAATGAAAAACAAATATTTTACTATTATTTATAACGTTTTACAATGTATCTCGTACTGATTCTTATACTAAATCGTAATTCTTACATCGCTGATTTTGAATAAAAATTATAAATACAGTCATCTCTGCAAATACGTGTGTTTCGTTAACGCGAACTCGCTCCAGTGAGATCGATGAATCGATAAAAGCTATTTGTGAAATGCAAACTTTTGCATATGCAAGTTTGCTCTTATGCAATTTCATTCCTCGAGCTTTAAACTTTCAAAGGACTAATTTAATCTCTGCGGAGGTACTGAGGTTATTTTTACTACGCGATTTTCTATAGGTCGGCGTCTTATATGAAAGCAACTATCGCATAACAGCAGAGATGACTGTACACATCAATCACATGAAATAATCGCGGGGACCAACGAATTGCCGATTGTAAGTGTATAAAATATATTTTTTAAATTCCCTCTATTTTATTTACGTTATTTCAGAGCTTTAAATGTAATATCATTATATTACTCGTCAATGTTTGGGTGCTGAGAAGGCATGTCATTGACTTCCTATTGATTTACATTATAAAAGAGTTTCAATTTACGCCGATTCCGTTTACGCCGGTTCGTCCAAGAACGCATCCCCGGCGTAAATCGAGGGCTGCCTGTAGTTACAATTGGCTTTTGAACTTTTACATACCTGTGTATAAGCTGTATCTCAGCTTCCGGTAGCTTCCTGTTTACGACATTTCGGCTCACCAGCGCATTGGAAACTGAAATACTGTCTGTTGTGGCGGCCTTCAACAGGTGACGTCTTACGTCATAGGTCGTGACCAACTGAGGCTGGCTCGCTGGCTGCACGAACTGCCTACATACACCAGAGCGTCCGTTACGTAACGTGTGCGACTCTCCTGTCCGTCATTTTGTTTTTATCGGTCGTAGGATATTCAAAAGTACGTTTTTGAGGTCGTGCAGAATGTCACAACCTCCACATCAGACTTCATCCAAATCCGTCCAGTGGTTTTCGAGTTGATTCCACTGGACAGACACAGACATCCCATAACGTGTTCTCGCTATGCACTTCCTGCCACGAACACGTAATATATGACCTTTTATATTATTTATTTATTCAGTGTTCTGTCTGACGACAGGTCCATATGAACAGGATCCTTCCATCCTTTTCTCTTCTCGGACTGGGACCTGTTCATATACGTTCTTGGCAGATGATCCAGAAGTGGTTTGCCATTGCCTTCTTCTGTGTGTGAATGGAGTAATTGTTGGAATGCCACGGAGAAACCGGGGAAGCCCCCGGAGGAAAACTCCGTGTTGCCTAGACCACGGCCTTGCCCAACACAAGTTATAAATTCGGGCACCGCCGGGAATCGAACCCGAGACCCCAGGATTACAAGGCCAGCGTTCTAACCGCTAGACCACCGTGGCTCGTATATGACCTTTACATATAATTAATTGTTCCATCGTGTGACAATGTTTTTGTTTCTGATGCAACACAGACTTTTGAATCTTATGAGTGAATTGGAATTTAATGTACTGTATCGACACTAAGGAAAACCACGAACAATCTTAAATCAGAATTTTGAACCCAGGATCTTTCGAATACGTAGCGAAGGAGTGGCCCTCGTTATACATGAGGGCTGCGTTCCTGTGATACGACGAGTATAACAAAAATCCATAAAACAGGAAACATATATCAGTCGCCATTGTGGCGTTTAACTTGCGTTAATATTCTTCGATGTTAAGCCAATAATTTGCATCACATTTCCTGATAAGCGTGGAGAAGATTAGGTTTACAGAACACAATAAATTTATTTGCTTCATCAATTCGGATAAAGTACAAAGTAGCGAGATTTCAAGGTCTTGCGGCGGTGATTATGACGAGGCTGTCTTCTGGGTTGTGCCACATAGTCTGGGAGAAGTTAACAGAGTTGTCAGAGATGTTCGCGGTTTCCATCTTCTGGGCTATGCTTGAACACTCAGAACAACCTAGAAGACATACTCTACTCGCCGCCATAAGTTAATGAAATCGCCCACACTTTTCGTCATTCCAATGCTGTCATTTAATGCCTTTGTTCGATTGCCAATATTCGATTACAAATCAACAGAAACTATCGAATGATTCTTTCAGTAGTACAAGTCTGCTCTCGAATCAGTGTTCGATAAATGTTATCGATAGTGTAAATTATTCGATACGTCCCAACCATCTGTGACAGCGACAGAAAAGTCATACAGTCCTGGCATCTACCAGCGGAAATGTTCTAAAGTGTTGATGTGTTTCTGTTCTTTTCTTTTGCAGTTCCCATAACTTCTGAAAGATGTCAGATGCGTCATCAAAACAGTGATGGCCTTGAGCGCAAATACAAGGTTGAAGTTGAATAACTCATTAAATTTGAAGTTTAATGGTATTGGAAAGTTGTGTGTATCCATTTCAGGTGTAAAAGTAGTTGTGCCCGTGTAAGACATGTCGTCAGTACTGGAAAATACGTATTTGCAGGACAGGCTGCGGGAAATGGGCGCGGTGTATGAAGAGCGATCAGGTTTCGGACAGTGTGATTGTACTTCTTACTCATATTTCGCTCTGTCAGCGGTGTTATTTGCAGTGGGAACTGTCATCACTGTTCTCGCATTAGGTGATGCCGACGGATATATATTTAGCAGTTTGGGACATATGTGGCTAGTCGGTCCCATATTTATATGTTCAGGACTAATGGTTGCAGCGAAAAGTGTTCTGTATCTAAGAAGAAAAGGCATTATATATATGCTGCTACGACGACGTGCACTTCTGAGGGTAGGATTTCATGACCTTTCATTGTATTATGTACTTCTAATTTCATATCAACATGTTTACGATGTATTTGGAGATGAGAAACAGCAAAATGTTGTGACGGGTATACATATGACGTTGCTTCGAATTCTTCAAGCGATCTATAGTAGTAACTTCGGATTAGTTTGAAAAATAACATACTTGTGAGTAATTAATACCAGAGATCTCGAGCGTAGTTCGTAGTAGCAACGTCACAAGTACACTTGTCCCTGTATTCTGTATGATAGCTGTAAATTGTTCCTAACCATGTTAATATTATGGTATGCCGCCATTGTAGTATGGCGACTTTCGTCTCTTCGTGTTTAAAGTGTAAACAGCTGTCAGATTTTATGGGTCTGGGTTTTTGATTAGATTGAACTAGTCAGTTCATATGAGTAGTAACTTTATTCATGTAGACCGTATCTACTTTGAACTTAAAGTAGTAGTACAAGTTCATAATATAATTTTGATCTTACCATGCCATGTCCCCAAAAGGTTTTCCATTGCATAGTCTCAACCATTCTGCTCCTGTTAAATATATAGTATTTTCAGTTTGCTTAGTTCTCCATGATTGAGTATTCACCATTAAGTGAACCATTCAAATTATTTATTTATTAGTTTAATTAAAGCAAGGAACTTGAGATAGGCCAGAAATATAGCATGGATGGTGTACAAGAAATGCATTCAAAATGTTGGTTGAAAGGTAGTTCTTCAGACACAGGTTGATGAAATCATGGAGTCGAGGGGTGGGGGGGGTTGTGTAGATGTGATCTATTAAATTATGTCATTTTATGGCAGATTTCCAACAGTTTTTAGATACGTTTACATCTCTCTGCATTGTCTACTAAAATTAGTCCATCCCTCTATTTGTACACATGTAACAACTTGAGAATATCTGAATAGATTTCCATGAAATTTGGCATTGGGGATTTCCACTAAAATTTGTTGGCACATTCCGAGACAAAAGTAATCTTGCAGAACGTGAGTCAGACGTGAATATCACAAGGGAGTACAATACCACTTAATCTTATAACCACTTGTGACTTGGAATGACTCATGATATCTGACACACTGATTACACATAACAGAAAGGCTGTGCCTTAACACAGGTGCCAGATATCGTCCCTTGATTTCATATTTCTTACAATTAATTTTAAAATTCATGGTAAATGCTGATATAGAACAGAAAACTCATTTTATTCAAGATATTAAATGGCTTTACAGCTGGACCATAATATGTGACTGTACAGCATCGCTGTTGGTCCCAAGGTGGAACTAATTGACTGACCATGCATTTGGTCAAACTTGCAGTAACAGAGTATTTGGTTATTCTGTAACTGATGAATCATCTGATGAAGTTGTGAAATGGCAAACGAGATACGATACTCTGGCTTAAAACGAGAGACGGGGAGAAAGGATCTGTGACCACTCGGCACATTTATCTTATTCATTTAGCCTTTACCCAGATTCAAAATGAATGTCAGTCAGATGCGCTACTATTACGCTAATCCTCTCAGTCATTCTTAGTTTAGTATGTTTAGCAGTCAGAAGCTTTTCAAGTGATACGTCACGTACATAATCTCATCATCTGTAGCCAAGATATTCTCTTACTCACAGGCACCACGACTCACTTAGGCTATTTGTGTGGCTTTGTACTAATAATTACCCTTGATTCTGACTAAAGAAATGTGTACACACACTTTTAGTGACGGTGTATTTACATAAGTCATTGTCAAACAGAGAATGTAACAACGTACCGTGAAAAATACCACATCACTTCTTGTTTAAATGAAGGCTGGATGGGTACTACAGAAGCATGCATTAGTTGCACAACTTTGCACAAACTTTGAAGGAATGATAATGCCCTTAATCAACATCACACACTCACTAAACACCACCAAGATTACAGTTGGCTGAGAGTATAGTGTATGTCAATGGTTATCTCGGCGTGAACTGTTTGGAAGATACATGGGGCCTTCCTGATGGCGTAAAATGCAGCAGAGATTAAAAGTATCTCCTTGTTTCATACCATTCTGTATGAAAAATGCATTAGGGTGTTTAATTAAAGAAGGTTGAAATGGATGGAACATATGACATGCAAGAGGGAAACAAATGCATATGCAATTTTGTTTATGAGAAATTTCTTTGTATACTGGAACATAGATGGGAAAGTAATATCAAAATAGATGTTGAAGAAATGGGCTGTAAAGATTGAGAGGGTTTAGTAATGGGCCTTTGTGGTGATACATCTTTTCTTTGCTACCATCGGGTCGGAGCCGAACCCTGGTGACATTATGAATAAGTTCCCTCTGATTGAGACCTGTTCATATGTTTCCTCTGCAAATGATCCAGAAGTGGTTTGCCATTGCCTTCTTCTGTGTGTGAATGATGATTAGAATGGAGTAATTGTTGGGATGCCACGGAGAAACCGGGGAAGCCCCGGAGGAAACTTCCGTGATACCTGGACCATGGCCTTGCCCAACACAAGTTATAAATCTGGGCACCACCGGGAATCGAACCCGAGACCCCAGGATTACAAGGCCAATGTGATAAATCTTTAGGTTTTATATCAGGAATTTTGTAAACAATGAGTTGTAGTCACTTGTGGTGGTATATTCTGTAGTAAGGAATTTGTTACATAGTTGAGTTTGTGAATGGAAATTTGTCAGTACTGGGAAGCCAGCTTTTGTACTAAGCATACGCCATGTAACTTAAAAAGCCAAGTATCTGAAGACTGAAACTTAGAAACTGGAGAAGTTATCACCTATGCTTATACAAAGGTTGACAGTGGGAGCTGTTTAATATTTCATTTGCAAGCCCTGTTTCACCCATTTGCCTATACTCCTCTGTTGCTCTTGTGAACTCTACTCAACGACTCAGAGTCTACAGGAGCTGGCCCAACTGAGTCGGAATCAGCAGTCTGGAGGAAGCTGTGTCATCCGTAACCCCAGCACGGTCACTATGCCGCCCACATACGAGGCTTTGATGATGGGAGCTTCAGCTTCTCATGGAGCAGGGGGTGGAGGTTCGACGGAGGCGCCTCCGCCGACATATGAGGAGGCTATGTTCCTTATCGGTGATGAAAAACTTAGGGTCGTCCTGGAGGAATCCAAATACGCAACAAGGTCAGTGCCCAAGAGATCTGATTAATAAACTGAGGACTGTTAATAGTAAGTTTTCAGTTTCTTTTGGCTTCAGTAATTTAAAATATAACTAAAAACCTTCAGTTGCCATTTGTAATTATTTATAGTATGTACTAAATGTTCTAAATCTTAATTTAATTGAAATTCATAGAAAACAGAAAAGCTGAATGTGAACCCAGATCATATCATGTGACTCTTGTGAACCTGGATGATATGTAGACAGTTCGGAATTCTGCGTGTACATGAACTGGATTTCTAAGTAAAATATGGAATTTGTTGTATTTTAATATTTGTTGTGAGTTGAAATTATGTTTAAAATTATAAAGTATGTAGAATACCTGTGAGATAAATGTTGTCCCTAATAATTTTCCGTGACTAAAAATTAATTATTTCTAGATCTTCTTTGCACGGAAGTTAGACATTTATTTTATTTTTTTAAGAAGTAGTTCTGTTACATTAGTGAAGGTATGAGCATTATCTGTGGGCAAGATTGCAAACATATTCCGGCGTACATTGATTAAATTTCTGTCTCTTGAATTCTTGCATACGACAGTGCTATCTACAGGTAAGACTGAAAACTGCTGCTACCGCATGTTTAAATATCACTTGAAGAGAAGCAGCAGATCATTTACATTCATATTCGTGACGCAGGGAATTGGTAACACATGGGTACTATATTCAAGATTGGAAACTTCCTGCCCTTCGCATTCAGACCGTATTAAATGCCCAAAGTTTTTTGTGCAGGATTGACAGGGATTATGGTAGTAAGAGGGCTGATAGAATTATAATTGCTAGTATTTTCCCCCGTCTTCTCGTGTTTAGCTCAGAAGATGGTTTGAATAAAGAGCCGCAAGGTGCCACAGCTGTTGCTGAGTTTGCATCCCCGAGCCAGCACAAACCGTACGAGGCAGACTGAGAAACCGTTACCATTACCCGTAAGACTGAGGATGGTCGGGCCGGCCTCACGGCCAGTAAAATGTGGCACGCATCGGTACTTGGCAGCGTGACGTAAGATGTTCAGTTCCAAGCCTTTGAGGATGTTAACAATCATTACTGCAGTGACATATCTTTTCATTTGGGGAGTTCTTTCTTGTGCAGCGGTATGTCGTACAGAGCTGACTGAAGTAGCCTTGACAGTATCAGATGGTAACAAGGGTCTTAAC